CCCCGCGCCCCGCCCCGCCTCTTTGCAAAGTAACTTCTGGGGCCGGCGCGGGGCGCCCCTCTCCGCAGCCCGGGCGGCCCGGGGCTCCCCTCCCCGCAGCAGGGGTGGGCTGACGCCCCGGGGAGGGGGAGTAAGGGCGGGAGGAAGAAAGAAAGCGCGACGGCCAGCCGAGGGGGCCCTGGCGCTCCGACCGAGGACCGGAGGGAGTGGGGACCCCGGAACCCGACGGGCGCTCCCCCAGGGGAGAGGGGAGCACGGGTGGAAGGAGGCCCAAAGGGGAGACCGGGAGGAGGTGAGCAGGGGAAAAGGACCGACAGAGAGAAAGCGGAGGAAGGTAGTAGATGGAGGGACAGACGTCCGGACAGAAAAGGAGACACAGAGGGAACACACAAAAGGACGCAGGAAGAAACCCAGAGAAAGACAGACATGGGAGAGTAGCGAAGAGACCAGAAAGACCGGGGGGGAAAGGAGGAAACCCAAGGGAGAGAGAAGGAGGCAAATAGGCCGCAGCAAGGAAGAAAAAGAAAAGAGGGAGACTTGAGGCACGACTAAGGGATGGGAAGGAAGAGAGAGAGGAGCGGTGGAGGCAGTTGGACACCAGAGAAAGAGACAGGAGGACTGGGGATGGGGGCGGGGAGGGAGGAGACAGACAGAGGGAAAGACAGGATGGAGAGGGCTGGAAAGCAGTGGACAGATCAACAGTCAGACAGGAGGGGGAGGACAGATGGACAGACACAGATGGAAAGGAATGGATAGGAACCAGACGGAATGGAGACCAGACATGGGATATCAGTGAGGAGGTCCAGGACAGGGAGGCAGGAGACACCGAGGAGGGAATGGGCATCCGGCATCAATGGGTTGGGGCAGGCAGTAGAAGCGAGGGGGGGACGCCCCATGGATTTCACAGGACCCCTGGCACTCCTGTCCCTTCCCCTCCTGCCCTCTTGGTTATCTAGAAGGGGCTCTCCCACAAAGCAGAAGTCCCATTCTCTCTTCCCAGGTCCCTCGTCCCTCAGAGGAGCTTCCTCCCTCTCTTTCCTTGGAGGGGGAAGTGGGAGGAGGTCCTGCCTGCCCCTGCTCCCCCTCCTTGGCTTTCTCTGGGCACCCCTGGCTGCTGTGCTGGGCTCCTGAAGTCTGTGTTTGGTGGCAGGAGAGCCTATTCCTGGGAGTTGCCCCCTGAGTGAGGATGCAAGGTCATTTAAAGTGTTCCGCAGTTGGAGCTGAGCTGGTTTTCATGTGGCCCCCCGGGGAAGCTGGACTCTGCTGCCCACACCCCCACGTGTCTGTGGGTGCCTCTCCCGGGCTTAGGGTCCTTCACCTCTGTTTGTTCCTGTATGTGCCTTTCTCCACCTCTCTGTCTCTCCTCTGTGTCGGTCTGTGTCTGTCTCCATGCCTCACCCCCACCCCACAGAAGCCTTGTGCTGTGAAACAAACCAAAGTCAAAGCAAGCAGCCTGTGATGGGAGGGCCGGGCTGCCCTGCAGAGGGGTCCCAGCCCAGGCCAGGGAGCCATGGGAACAAACGGCCTGTGGCCCCTCTCCCTCTCTCCTCCATCTCGCCTGCTCTCTCCCCAGCCCCGCCTAAAGACATGCTTAAAATGTGTTGGGAGGTGCCCCCACCGCCCCTTGGCTAACATCCACCCATTTCCACACCACAAGGACACCTACCTTGGTGGGAGATTCGGGTTAGGGGGCGCAAGGGGCTCCAGAGCCCTAGGCAGTTTCCCTCCCCTCATTCCTGTGCACTGATCCTTGGGAAGTGGGCAGAGCTGCATCTGTGGCCTGTTGCCCCTGCTGGTCCTGTCTCAGAAGTGGCCTCCGTCCTCCCCCATGGAAGAATACAGATTGGCCCTCTCTGGCCCCTGACTTCTGCCCTTGAGGCTCTGCCAACCCTGCACGGGGGACCCTCTGTTGTCACCCCCTCAGAAGGGGATGTTCTGCTGGCCCCTGGCCACCTGATGGCTGGCTCTGATCTCCTACACTGACTGCCTCCTGGCCCCCATTCCACCTTCCTTTGGGCAGCTGTAGAGGGCTGTAGACGGGCTGCTGACCTGAGCAGATACAACCACCCTGAGAAGTGATGCTGCCTGCTGTGTGTGCACGTGTGCGTGTGCGTGTGTGTGCAGGGAGGTGACTCTGTTGTGTTTCTTTTTGATGCCTCTCTTCCTTTAGGGGCAGGCTGGAGCCTTGGGGACTAGGGCAAAGGAGAAGGAGTCCTGGGGGAGGGTGATTCTCTTAGAGAGCACCACCTCACACTGATTTAGAACCCAGATGCCAGCCAGGGAGTAATTCAAAGTGGACATTCTTGAGGACCAGATAGTCTGGGGTGAGGCTGGAGGCTTGAAGACAAGAGGACATTCCAGGACTTCCCCAGGCTGGCCCCTGGGTGTTTGCCCTCAGGGTGGCTGCTGAGAGTTCCTTATGCTGCCCTTCTGGGTCCTTCTGTCTGTCCTCCATCTGTATATTATGCATAGCTGGCTGGAAGTAACCTGACATATACAAATGCCCTGGACCCGCTTCTCTTGTGTCCGAGTCCAGTCTCTGCCCCTAACGAGCGCCTGAGCTTCACCAAACCTCTCTGGGCCTCCGTTTCCTCATCTGTAACCTGAGGAATTAACCTGAATTACAGCTAAGGATCTTCTGGCTGTGCTATCCTGTGCCCTGAGGGCCCCCTCCCTGTCTGAGCTGTGTGTGTGTGTGTGTGTGTGTGTGTGAGAGAGAGAGAGAGAGAGAGTTAGGGTGTACACACAGATGCACAGAGTCTGTTTTGTGTTATTTGCCCGACAGCTGTCCCAGACTGAAGGTGGATGTGTGTGTTGGGGCAGGAGGTGAGGAGCACCAGGAGACCTCACAACCTAAACTGAACTTGAGTTTGGAAGTTGGGAAATGAGACCCAGGTTCACACTGAGATTTCCGAGGTGGGGGGGGAGAGAGGACGGGAGATCAGAACCGTCCATGAGCCAGGTTAGCCCAACTGAGGATCTGGTTCCACCGCTTGGACACTCCAGTCTGGGGAGGTGGAATCTAGATGAAGAACTCTGTCTCTCTACAGCCCGGAAGCTGGGCGGGGTCCCATGTTCAGATCACCTGCGTGGACCTGCCGGCTTAGCCTCTGCTTTCTGTTCCGTGCTAGCCTCTCTGTCCCCATCTGAAACCCAAAGGGGATGGATTTAAATTCCTCCAAGGACCCTTCTGGCTCTAAATTCTAGAATAAGGAGGGTGGAGGAGGGTTAGAGAGATGCTTGTGGGGAGAGCAAGACACACAGGGAGAGGCCTTTCCTCGCTGTGTTCCTGAGCCTCAGTTTTCTTATCTTTTCAGTGGGACTAATAGCTCCGCTTAATGGGATTGTTGTGAAAATAAAGGAGCCCCAGCATCTCGGTAGCTTTGTGCCTGGCACAGAGTAGCTGCCCCCAAGATGCTACCAGTCACTGCTTGTCACAGCAGATTGTCGTGTGACGGCTGTTACTGTTAATTACCCTAACGATCAACGGAAAGGCAGGAGGCAGAAGGAGCTCCCTGCTTCCTGGGCCACACCTCACCAGTTGTCCCTCACCACACAGGAGCAGTCGACGTGGATGAGTGCTCGGAGGGCACGGATGACTGCCACATCGATGCCATCTGCCAGAACACGCCCAAGTCCTACAAATGCCTCTGCAAGCCAGGCTACAAGGGGGAAGGCAGGCAGTGCGAAGGTGAGCCCGGCTAGCCCTCCTGGCCAGACCCTGCGCTGCCACGGCCGCTGTCAGTGGCCGCTGTCTGCCCCGTGTGATGACAACGGTGGCTGAGTCTCCAGGACTCGCCCCCATGACTGCCAACAGCACAAGCCTCTCTCAGCCTTGGGAGGGAGGCTGTCGGCTTCTTGGGAACCCAGGCTCTTTCCGGAGAAGGTGGAATTTGGAGTCATGGGGACCTAACTCTCCCCGGGTTTGAAACCCTTTTTTTTTTTAAGATATTGAAATGAAGCATTGAATTATATATTTGTCTATCTGTCCCTGACTGGATGTGTGTGGGGTAAAGGCCTTGGGTGACATCCTCCCCGAGGTCCCTAACTTCAAATCCGAGACTAGCCTCTCTGACCTGCAGCTTCCCCCAAAGGAGCCACTCAGTAGCCGGCCACAGCGTCTGTGGGGCTGGCTCAGGGCCCTGTCTTGAGTAGGAGAGACTGGGCAGAGACTGGTGGATTTGTGCTCTCTGCACGCCTGTCCAGCCTTATTCACCTGGGGTGCTGGTTTGACTGTCTGGCACTAGAAACCGCCTCCCTGGCAGGCTGAAAGTCAGAGAGGGAAGAGTGGCCTCAGCTATCTTTGGAGCTAGGTCTCTCCCAGCCACAGGGAACCTTTGGGAGGCTCTGACTCCAGGGTCCTGGGGCAGGGCGCAGCATCGGGGCTGGAAACAGCTCTCTCCGTGGCTGATGTGCATCCCTGGGTGAGAATCACTGATCCAGATCTTCCCCGTCTGCTCTCCGTTAATAGATGAGGAAAACTGTGGCTCAGAGAGGAGAAGCATCTTCTGCCAGGTCCCCAGGGTGGCGTGGCCACTACTCAGACCCAGGTCTCTTCCTTCCCACTCCATGGCTCTCGAGCATCTCCTTGTCGTCTCCCTGAACACTGCCAGCTTACTTTTTCAAAGTGTGAGATTTGTGTTAGGAAAGCAACACATGGGAACAGCATGGTGCCTGTTCCTCCTGTGTAAGGATTGCCAGGAGCTGGAGTTTTGTGGGAGATGCAGCTATGCCTCCTTGGATGCTGACATTGTTTATTCATCTCATTTGTTGGGCGTCTACTTAAGGCTGAGTGCTGGGCAGATGCCATTGTCCTGGACCACGCCTGGTTTGGCCACATCCCTGGCCTTGCTTGGGGCCCAGAATCCTGAGGAGGGAGCTGGCACCTACCCACAGACCTCTGGAAGGAGGCAGCAGATAGAGCGGGTCGTGAGCAAGCAGTCTGATGGCACGGGCTGGCCTGGCTGCTGATGGGGCCTGAAGGTCAGCTTGGTGCTTCCAAGTGACACGTGTGAGGCTCTGCAAACCTTTTCTGACTCCCTGCTTCCCACTCCAGGCCCAGGGCACTGGCAATGGAGGGCCGAGGGTGACCGCGCATATCTGCTGGTTTAAGCCACTGACCGGCCTGTTCTTCCTCCAGCCCAGCTCCTTCGGTCCCCTCCTGCTGTCCCTGCCCAAGAGGCCCACGCTTTGTCTCTTGCCTGTTTCCCTGAAGTCCTTCAGAGTCTGCCTGGGCCCGGGGTGGGAGTCACACTCGCTGTCTCGGTGGGCCTGACAGCCTCAGTGTGAGGATGAGAGAGGAGGCGGCTTATGAAAGTGCTTCAGGAATGGCTCTCCCACCTGGCTCCAGCTTCTGCCCCTCACCTCCTGAAATACTGAAGCACCTGTGTCCTGGCCACACACACACACACACACACACACACACACACACACACTACAGGCCATTCCCTGTTTCTGAGACCCAGCCCAGATTATCCCCCTGCCTGGAGCTCCTTTCTCTCACTTTGTGTCCTGGCTAATTCCTAACCATGCTTTAGATTTGCCTCCTCCAGGAAGCCTTCCATGATAGCTCCACTTCCACATAGTTATAGACACACACACACACACACGCACACACACACACACAGCTGCATTAAGTACTTATTCTGCTCCCAGAAGCCCCCGGGCTTCCCTCAATCATAGCACTTCTGACCCTGGATTATCATTATGTGTCTTGCTCCCCCACTGGACTGTGAGCTCCTTTACCCAGGGTCTGCCATGGGGCCACCACACTGAAGCTGTCAACCTCGGGCTCTGCCTCCAGGGACCTCACAGGGAGCTTCTTGACTGCAGAGAGCCTTTTCATGCTTGTTCCGTGTCCTCAGCTCCTGGGGCAGGGCCTGGCACTAGCATGGTGTGGGGAAGATGTTTAGTCTGAGCTGGCTCTCTTTTTCCCAGACTGGAGTTCACATTAGATGAGCAACCTATAAGACACCCCCAGAGGGGAGGGGAGGGTGGCGTGGGAAGTGTGGGGTGCTGGGTCCATGGGGGCTTGTTCTTGCCATGGTGTCGTTTTGACCCTGTCTAATGAGAGGGGAAAGCAGGGACGGGCCTAGCCTCTGCTTGGGAAGCCTGGGTTGCAGCCCACCTCAACGTGAAACTTCGGGTGCTCATTTGTCCTCCTGAGCCCTAGTGTCACCTTTTGTTACATGGGCCCAAAATACCCCCCACCACAGGCCGTCCTGAAGATTGAGTGAAATGCAATGTAGCGTACCCAGGGCCTGCCAACCTCAGTGCCTGGCTCACAGGAGGCACTCAATATACAGGATGTGCTCCATGTACAGGTGATGGCATCACTGTCATCGTCATCAGCATCTGTTCCCACAGGGGTTGCAGGCTCAAATGACATCATAAATGGTGAAGGCCTTCGAAAACCACAGTGCCACATACCTCAGAGCTGGTAGTTATAGTACAACCTGGTCCCTCCCCTCAAGGGGCTTATAGCCCAGCTGGGCTGCATGAGCTGAAGTGATCTATTGGTGGAAATTCTTAATGAACAAGTGAGGATCATTCAGTTGGTAAATCAGGACCTGTCGAGTTGCTGTATTAACAGTATGGAGAATAACTGTCAGGAACTGGGGGGAGGGTGCCCGTTTGGCTGCTCACTCCCCAAATCCTCTCTGAGGGAGTGCTGGCGGGGGTTCTGGGGACCTGAGTGGACACTGTCCCCCTTGCACGGAGGTTTTCTCATCCCTGGGTACCAACCTGCAGTCATCAGTCAGAATCGATGGAGCCTGCTGGCGTGTTCACCAAGGGCCATCAGAGCTCCCACTGGCTGCCCCAGGAGGACCATGCAGAGACGTCTGGAGACTTGAAATCTAGAGAGGTTGGCAGGCCATGTGCAGTGGTGGCCTGAGGGAGCTCGGAGATCATCCAGTTGCTCACTTCTTGGTGCACAGATGGGGAAATAGAGGCCTGAGAAGGCAAGGGTCTCGTCTGAGTTGGGACTAGAGCCCAGGTTGGTGGGCCCATTTCTCCAGGATGCATTTCTGCAAGTGGTTATTGCTCTCTGTGGCTCTGTGTTCTGAGAAGAGGGAATGAACAGTCCATGTTCTGTTGAGCACAGCGGTTAAAGCAGGGACTTTCAAGCCAGACTGCTTGGGTTGAGATCCTGCCTGTGTAGCCTGGACAAGTTACTTGACCTCCTTTTGTTTATCTGTAGAATAGAAATAATAATGATAATACCTACTTCACAGAGACAGTATGAGAATTAAATGAATTAATATCTATAAACCATTGAACATAGCTTGGCACGTAGGACACATTATATAAGCATTAGCTGCTGTTACTGTGATGATGATGGTGGTGATGATGGTACTGATGGTGATGGCAATGGTGATGATGGTACTGATGGTGATGGTGATGATGGTACTGATGGCGATGGTGAGGGTGATGATGGTACTGATGGTGATGGTGAGGGTGATGATGGTACTGATGGCGATGGTGATGA